AAGAAGAAGAGAGAGAGAGAGAGAGAGGGAGAGAGAGAGAGAAGGATGGAATTTGAATTGTAGATTTTTTCTTTTTTCTTTCTTTTAAGACAGATATTTATGCAAATTCACATTTATCGAATTCACAATTAAAAAAATGGGAATAAAGATTTCTTTCTTGAACGTTATATAAAGTATACTTTATTCTATATATACGTTTTATATCTTTATACACGTGTATTCTACAGATTTTCAGAAATTTAAATTTTCCAGAAATGCACGAACATCCATAATCTTTTTTGAAATATATAATAAGATTTCACGTGTATCGGAGAGAAGTTGACTTCCGTAATATTAAAATTTTTTTCATAGAAGATCTTTGACATTTTTGAAATCCGAAGTTGTACATTTTTCTGATTTTGCTTCGAAGCTTTAAACGTCTCATAAATATCTCGAATAACGAAGAAAATTTTCAAATCAAAGACAGGTTTTAAAAGAATAATTCCATTTTATATCTATATCCTTTATCTATAAAATTATTTCTCTAGCAGAATAAAAAAAAGCTTTCAAGCTTTCGTTCGAAATAGATAATCTTTCTCAAAAAATCACACTCATCCAATCATCCAATCGTTCAACGGTCCTGGTGTTCGAACACCTCCAAACTTCTCCATTTCCCGATCGCAATCGTTATCCGAGGTAAACAGTTTCACGATCCATAAAGTCAATCGTGCCAGTTACGAGCCAGTTACGTTTAGCCGAGACATCGTGGGCCTGCCTGCTCGGCATGATACATATCGCGTATTATTATTCCTCGAAGCTGTCCAATTACCTTAGCCGGCAGCGCAATTCGTGCTAATGGATCGAGAAGCATGGCACGTCGTCGTGGCGAGCCGCGAGGGAAATCGCCACGACGCCGAGCGCCGTTCCTGGATTTCTTTGGCGGATTTCCAAACGCGCCGAATCAGCCGAACCCCCTCGTTCTCACCCCTCCCTCCAACACCCCTTCCCGCAGGAAAAGTTACGTTTACCTAAGGTTTTGATCCTATTTCCGTGCGGGTCGCCGACCTCCTCTCTCTCTGCTCATCATTCACTCTCCCTCTCTCGTTCTCCGCTTTTCTTCGTCGCGCATCCGCCCCTCCCTTTCTTCTTCCTCGATGCTACTTTCACGCCCTTTCCCTCGATGCGTGAATCCCCGTCTATCGGCCTTGTTCCTCATCCTTCGAACATTATTTTATAACCCGTGTTTTTGCGATCCCGAAGAAAGTTTCGATGGGGTATCCATTAAGAGATATTTATAATGGCTCTCGTATGGATTATTTAAAACGAGGGATAATCGAAGAGAGAAATTGCCAGAGATCTTTTATATTCGTGTATTGGGATTAGAAACGCGGGTCTATAATTAAATAAACACGTATAAACGTGATAAAATTAAGAGAAGAATCCCAAGTTTCAACTTATTACCCAACCAAAAATAA